ATAATTTTGGGTTTACAAATGCCACAAGTAGCTGTTTAGCAATAGCAAGATTTCTATGTTTATATAGAAAAGCTCTTTTCTTCTGCATAAAGTGAAACGGGTTTTTAAAACACTCAAAAGAATTACAACGCACCGTTGAGTTATGTCACTGTAACTTACTTTGTGAAAGAACCACATTCTTCGTTTTAGATTAATACGAAATTTTTCATGATTTTTTTTCTGAAAAACATAGCCCAAAGAAGAGGAAAACAACGACTTAGACGAAAATGGGTGTTTAGAACCGCATTACTTTTAACGGTAGTGTCTGTTATAACATCTCACTTGTTCTGTCAGCTTTCGGATCTGATCATGAATATCCTATACGAGATTAATATCCGACTAAAAGATTTTTCAGACTATTCAACGTCGGTGACTATATGGAGCTCTGATTATCGTACCAGGTAACAATATACGTGGAGAGACTTGCTACTGTAGACCTTCCAGCTAAAACATAATCCCAACAAATAATTTTAACTTTCAGTCCAATAGAAGATCTGAAAAACGTATTATCACCACTGAATGTGCGGTTTTTTGATAAAACTTTATCTTCTTCCTGCTCGTTGACTCAAACATGCTGGAGACATTTGAAAGTACTAACGCAAAATAACACATTCTACTTGAATGAAGATGTTCGACGACGATTCTTCAATTTTTATAAAGATCAACGAGAAATGAATGTGGTTGATGCTTTCATGTGCTTTCATCCACCAGCGTTATGTGAATTATATATGCCATTTAATAAAAGTATACTAGTTATAGCTTCGACAAGATACGAGTTAGGAAGATTTGAGCCTAAAAGATGGCACAAGTGGAATGAAAATTTGAAAGCGATTGCTAATGATCCAAAAAATGTCGTCGCTGCCACTAACCTGTATGATGCAGAATACATTCGATATTTCACTAATATCACCGTGACTGTTTTACCAAGTTTATGCAAGTATACAAACGCACACTATACTCCAGTAAGATCAAGTTTCTTATTAGCTTCTATACATGGGCGCACGTTTGACAAAGTGTTTTCAATTTCACTCGAACATTCACTAAAGATATCAAAGTCTGGGATTATTGTGAAGAAAATAAAACAGTTGTATAAACTGAACGAGTATTCGAAGCTATCCAGCCATCTTGGGATTATTCATGTTCCGTATCAGGTATCCACGGAGAGCATATTCGAACAATATCGAATGAACATACCTCTATTTTTTCCCTCTGTTGACCTCCTTACCAACTGGCATTTTAATTACGATATTTTGCGAGAAAGAACGTGGGATTCAGTATACGGAGTCATACCGAATGGTTCACATATTAGTGGGATGTTGCTGAACATACCTGACCCGAATAATGAGTACAGTAAAGATGCTGTCCGATACTGGCTGAAATTTGCCGACTTTTATCAATGGCCACATATCATTTACTACAACTCAATTGATGATTTAGTTTTAAAACTTGGTTCAGTCAATTTAAGCGCAGTTAGCAGCAAGATGAAAACTTACAATGAACGAGTAAAAGCAGATCTCGTATCAAAATGGACCGATATTTTGAGCAAAATCAGACTTCATTCCCAGAAATTCATGAAAAAAAGATAAGAAAGTTTATACCCTAGTGAATGTACTCAAGTGTGAGTACTCAAAGTCGTTCTCTGCTGAAAAATGTCGCGAGTACTCATGAGTACTCACACATTTTTTTACTCATTGAGTACTCACATGAGTACTTATGAGTGAGTAACGAGTATTGTGGGTACGGCTTTGAGTACTCACGATTGGGTATTGTTGAGTACTCATATAACTTTTGGCAAAATACTCATGAGATATTTTCATATAGAGGAGTGATCTCAGGCAACCAGAGTAGGACCACAAGTCTAGTCACAGACGAGTCTATCCCTGACTATATACAGAGAGGCCAGTGAGGAAATAATAATACAAATATTCTATGTTTCTTCACTAAATTCTACGTTCTTTATACCGTTTCAGTCTAGCAAAATAAAACGGTGAATGAATATTTACTGAGTACTCACTGAGTAACAATACTCAAAAATTGTTAGTAGTACTAATATGGGTACTCGTGGACGAATTATGAGTAAAGTCGTACTCATCGTATGAGTACTTTCACTAGGGTAATGCTGCTATATAATGAGAATGAGATTCTGAGGGATTCTTCTACCGTTTTCGTCAAAACAAAACAAAACTCTACATTGTGTAAGCGATGGCTCGTACAATTGCATCAATGTTTAGATTCTAAGTATAGACTGAGCTCATAAAATATTTTGTGAACATCGTGAAATTGACAGCGAGAGAGCTGTCATCTACCATCGTCACAATGTTAAGATTCTCAAATAATTAGTTAATCTCAAAAATTTTGGAAAATGACTTTTTCCGTGTGATTGACATTCAGGAACTTAAAGATTCAGAAACTCAACAGCTCAGCAAGCCTGGAACTCAGAAGCTCAAAAATTCAGAAACTGAAAAAATCATGATTTCAAGTAACACATAGCGACTGTCGACGTCGAAACTGATGTTTTGTGTGATTCCATATTGTTTCTGTTCGAATATTGTTATTTTGTTGTCCTCTATCACACTTTTTTAAATATTTTGTATTTTTCAGTAACAGTTTAAGTTTCAAAACTGTAAACAAGACGAGTTCTTTCATCTTGTGTACTTTGTATATTAATGCCTGATTCATCCCTAATCGATTGTAAATCGTTCGTTACACACAATTGAACTAACGCAGTAATTAAGAAAAGCTAATTTTGCCGTACATATCTTATGAACGAAGTGTTTTTCTGGGCACTTTTAGAGAAGAACAAAAACAGAAAAGAAGAACGCTTAAAAATACATCCTGTTCGTGCCTATTTCTGCTGAATCATTCGAATTTTCCGAATGAATTTGCTGTTTCTCAAAAGCTAAAGCGAAGACGCGTAGGGTATGAAAAGAAAACTTGTAAAGGGAAGGGAGATGTGGGAGCAGAGAGGATGATACTGAGTCAAGGAGCTGTTTCAGTACACAATGACTAAACTAAATTAAAAATATTACTAGATACAACAGCGTTCGATCAATTATTTTTTAATGAAAGTTCAGTGAAGAAAGGCTCTGTGACCATCAAACAATAAGAACGAATTGTTCGTCTTTATTCTTTCTATCTGCGAAAGGTTTATGGCTGTAATTCTTTCGACACCTATACTTTCTTCTGTCTTTCCGGTAACCTAACGTTTCTTGATCGAGTTTATATCTTTTTCACTCTTGGAATCCCTACTACTCTTTTCTTCCACCTTAAAAAAAAACAAACGATGCGAACAGCTGGATTCAGAAAAAATGACCGACAACTGACTCTTATTACAAAAATACACACATGTTTTCAACAGCTTGTTCACCTTCCAAAACCAATACCGAGATTTATTTTGATATTTGTTGAATTATTTTCAAAATACAAACCTTTTTTAAAACTAATTTTCATATTCCGACGCTTTCATTAACTAACTGTCTTCCGAAGAGTAATTTGTTGTGCCGAATACTGACCAGTGTCACAACATATAACGAGAAAGAAAAAAGAAAAGAAAACATACGCCTATGTACTCCCTATCTTTTCATCCCGAAAGTCAATCCTCTCCCGTCTGTTCGGTCAGCATTGATATCGAACTTTTTTTTCTGTAAAAATGAAAAAAAACAACAGAATTTCCTTTTGGTAATAAACAAACAACAACAAGAGAATGGTGATGTTGGCTAAAAGTTGGAGTACTCCATTTTAAAGTAATTTTAACATCAATAAAACAAAATGCAAATATTATACAAATAAACGTGGTTGTCTAGAGGGGGGGTCCCTCTGCTTTTTGAAATTTTTACTCCGAAATCGAGTGCAAACAGCTCATACTTTACTCCAACTGTTGAGAAACGTAGAATTCATTCTAACATTAAAGTGTCCAAATAATAGGTGCTATTAATATTCTGTACAGAGATTTACAGCTCGACACAAGAAGATAACTGAAAATTTATCATTGTACTATATACATCAACATTTAGTAATAGATGCTAATATACTTGACTAAGTAGTTCAATGACAATAAGACTGTCCTTTTGAAATACAGAACATCTTGTTAAATAATTTGACCAGTGGTGAGATTAGCACTATACATTCTTTCTCTGCTACCTCTCTTTTGTTTTCTATAGTATACACATATGTAGCATCATCAGAACAGTCAAAAATGGTATTATGGACTTCTGTCTCTTTCTTTTTTGTGCTATACTTTTTCCTCTGGCTCAATAAATATAGCTTAAACAAAAACAGTATTGAGTCGCTTCATAACGGCTAAAACAAGCGCGTATCACGATGAATTCCTTGTCTATGATCGCTATGTTGAAATGCCTATTCAACATAACTCAGCCAAAGATAACAAATTCAAAATCTATCTACTATAGTTTGTATTCTGTTCATAAAAGTATCAACAAGAAAAATCTCATCATGACAAAAAAAAGCAAGAAAAAAGTGTTACAACTACTGATCGAGAACGTTTTTTTTTAATTACAACAAAGTTTAATGGCAATTACTTGGAAGAACAAAGAATACTTTCTAATCTGATTATACAAATATACTAAACTATAAACTGACACAACAACAGAACAAGAATATCTGGCATGGATACGTTTTCTACAAAGAAAATATAAAAATCTGATCAATAAGTTTATCTGGATAAACAGACTTCTAACAAAAAGACAAAGAGAATTATCAAAATCTTTCATGCATAACAAACTTAATATCGGAGAAAAATGATGTATTAATCTTAGCGTAATATAAACAGATTTAGTAGAGAGACAAAAGTTTCAAAAGAGATTGGAGTAACAGATGGGCTTGGTTACCCAACTATCACAAACTCGTTTTTTGAATGCTATAGAGAAAAAAAATCAAGCTTAGAAAGTAAGATTGAAAAGATTAGAAGTAAAATAATTACAAAACTCGAATGGTTGTTAATGTCATAGAATAACAATTTCATCTCCTTTCTCCATTTGATTGTCACCACCAACACTATTTTCACGCTTTATGTTTGTTTCATTTTCGTGCTCTTCAAAATGATTCCAATCAATAACATATTTTTTCAACAATTTTTCCTTGTATGTTTGCAAATTTTTTTGATCAATATTATGTAAACACGTGTAATCAATCAGAAAACTCCAATCATAATTATGAAATAAGTTATAAATCGTTGTTGTTAATGTTTGTTGTAATTGTTTTAATTCATATTTATTCACAGAACTCTTCTTCTTTTCATATTCATTTTTTAAAGCAGTAACATGTTTTATGATCACACCAAGACGTATGAGATGTTGCTGTTGTTTGCGTTTTTGTTCAACATACAATGGATGCTTTTTAATAACACAAAATGTTTTATCCTGTACACGAATTAAACCAAAATATTGCAATGTACTCAAAATATCTTTTGTTAAAAATCCCGTCCAATATCGAATATCTTTCATTGAAATTGAATTTAAATCATCTTTGGCTACTTCATTTGATGATATTTCTCTCTCAATATAATCAATTTCAATTATAAATTGTAATATTTTTTCACGCCAATAGGAACGATAGCATAACAAACCTAAAACAGAATTATATGATGTATTTAGTTCCATTCTTTTATTCTCATGGCAAAAACTCTTTGATTGTGAAAAATGACATATTTTCAAAGTGAAAAATAACAAGATATGGAAATACCTAAATCTGATAAGGGTCTTTCGGGTGTACTTGTTTTATTTTCCAATTGACATAGTAAATAACTGAATTCAATCAGTATTTTGCTATATCCTTGCTTAGCATGTTGTGGCAATACTAATAAACACGATAAATTTGGATGTTCACGTTTATTTGAAAATTTTAACTTGGAAAAATAACCGATCATTTGATAATTACAAAGCTGTTGTTGGTTGTTATTTAAATTCGGTATTACTGACGGTGATGACTGAAATCGAGAAAAAGATCGAGACTTATATTGTATGACTTTTTGTCTGATTTTAGACTTACATTTCTAGATGGTAATATTTCTTTTTCATATAATATGTAAAATAGAAATCTATCAACATATTTATCAACATTTTTGCTATCGATAAATAATCGAGCTAATAAACATAAATTTTGACAGAAACCACGATGTTCACTGTTGCCATTGACTTCATACAATGTGAGTTTATCTGTTTCGTATAGTTTTAAGCCATACGGATGTGTCCATGAACATTTTGTTAAATGTCGTTGCCAACTATATTCTTCATTATGAAAGTATTTTAGACAATACTCACATACATATATCTTCTTTATTGGATTCAACTACGAAAACAAACAGATTTTTATCATAAAACAGGGCATCAGAAAGAACTACAACATCATTCCATGTAACTCGACGAAAAACATGGTTTCAACACTTTTTTACTGTTTTCTTGTCTTTATATTTTTCAACGAGACGAGCGTCAGAAGCTCGCAATTGTCTCACTTTGTGACGAAAAGTGTTCTTAATAATATGAGATGTGTCAAAGTTCTCTTGGTTATGGCGATATTGCGAAGAGAGTCTTTTGAAACAGTATCTTGTCTTTTCTTGTGCATTATCAACAAAATATCTTAAGATGTATCATCCCTCTTCGGTGCCATCTATAAGTCTGCCATATAAGTTTATATTTTAAATGTAACTTGCTCTTTCTAGTATTTCTTTATTTCTTCACTATTTTCGGTGTTGCATTAGCATAAGCTAGCCTTTCTTTGCAACAACTATCTTGGCAAAAATAAAAATTCAGTTCAGTTCAGTTCAAGATATTGCACACTAATTTAAAAAAGTTTCTTTTGGAAATGTATGTCTCCAGTTTGTTGATATATCTTCATAACCAAAAGCCTTAGAGAACTTTGACACATCTTATATTATTAAGCACACATTTCGTCACAAAGTGAGACAATCGCGAGCTCCTGATGCTCTTCTAGTTGAAAAATATAAGAACAACAAAATAGCAAAAAAAAATGTTTGGAATCACATTTTTAGTCGAGTTATACGGAATGGGCACACAGTTTTATGGAGGAGAAGCATGTATATAATACCTTTGATGATAAACACGGTTGTTGATTAAAATCTGTACTGTTTGGCTTAGTATCGCATCGTTCTATCGGTAGATAGGCAGATTTATAAAATGTTTCAATTTCACATTGTCCAAACTGCAGTAAACGTTTACTACTACTATTTTGTTGTTGGTGTTGCAAATGCGTTTTCGATGTTATTGTTGTAACTTTCGGCAATGATATTGATGTTGAATGTTGAATTTGATTATTATGTTTCAAAATTATTGAGTTTACAGGTAATGATAATATATCACTATCTTGTTTCATTTTTCGACGTGTTTGTGATAAATGCTTAGCTTGAATGAATAAATCTTCAGCAAGACGCCTCGGATCGAAATCAATAGTCAATGCTGTTGGTTGTTTCTTCAAAGATTTATGAATAATTGATTGCACATGAGAAGAGGTCAATGATTTTCGTTGATTGCTGCTTGGTTTATTCTCTTGTTTTTTTGCAATAGAAGGACTTCCTTGAGAAACGGATGTGTCTGATACTTGAGTTATTGTTGATGATATACTTGGAGATTGCATTTGACACGGAGAGAGACAAATTTGTGAGATAGATTGTTTAGACGATGTAGAAATACAAATGTTTGTTTGCGATGAAATATTTGACACTGTAGTTACCGGTCTAAATGGTGGTGTATTTTCCGGTACTAGACCTATGATTCCCGAACTAATAACATTCTCAGGTACTCGATGACTTTCAATACCAGCGGGTCGTTGCTTGTGTTCTTCCTTTTGTCGGTTTGATGGATTTATGGTGACGGTATCTGATGGACACGTTGAAGAACTTGTTTTGACACATTTCGGATCGAATAGTGTCTTCGCTGTTGTAGTGACGGGCGACAATGTATTATAATTTTTACTGATCTTTAATAACGCTTGTCTTAGTTTGGAATTGACATCTGAAGATAACGAAGGTTTTAATTGTTTGTTTAACTCATTCTTTGCGGCAGACCGAAAGGCATGCAGAAATTGTTGGAGAAGATCTGGAGGAATCGAAGATGTTAAACGAGGAGAAACAGTTGTTGGTGTTGATTGATTTAGAGCAGATAAAGATGATTGAATTTTATTCTGTTCGTTGACATTCGAAGCCGTAAAAGTTTTTTTTGATGTCACTAATAGATCGTTCTTAGTCTGCTTCATGAGTGTCACTGTTGTTTCGTCAATATCTGAACAAAACAAATGATTGAGAATGTTCTAGGAAGAATAAAATCAGGTCTAAGTACTGCTCATGAAAGGAAAGAAAGTCTGTAAAAAAGAGATAAGAAGCAACTGACACTTGAGAGATTACTCTAGGCGATCGTCTGTTATTATCTCAGTCAGACGAACAAAAGTTTTCTCTACTTAAATCTAAGTGAAGATGCTACGTCACTACCATCAAATGTAACATTAATGTATAGGAAAGCAAGCTCAGTGTGATCATTATGATTCAAACTCCATTGCAAAACAATATATATTAAACTGCAGAGATCTTTCAATGTTATATTACTTTTCAACGATGTGACTACACATTGATCTGTCGTCTTCGTTAATGAATTCGAGGATGTCGAGTCAAGAATGGATGAGTTATGTGAAGAGGTTGTGCTTTCTCTCTGCATGTCAGATGTTGTTACCAAGGGTATTGCTGTATTTTTATTTGCGGTAGTTATAGTTGGTTTAAAATCGCATTCCATATCATTGTCCGGTATGATCACTAGCGTATTGGTTGAATTTGCAATTGTATTTGCAGAATTGACATGACGATTTGGCGATGTTGTCATTTGAGTTAAACCTGAACTATTTGCTTGTATTTCTTGTTTTCTAGAGCTTCCGTTCATTGCTAATGTTCTAAAATAAATGGAAAAAAGAACATTATTCCTCAACTACCTTTTCATTTCAACTGCTACCTTTCAAATGATGAGTGGAGTTGCTGCGGACTCTGACTTTCAGGCATTGTTCTCGTATTCGGATCAAATGATGGTAAATTATCGAGATTTTTTCTATTCGTTGACTTTTGTTGTTTCCTATTAATTTTCTTTGAACTATTGTCTGTTGAAGCGGGCGGTAGTTGTTGAATACTGGAGCTATTACTTATCCGAGGACTTTTTGTTTGTGACTGCTGCGAGAATGGAGTTATTGTTACTTTCAAAGAGTTATTAGCTACACCACTAGATCTCGGTCTTAAATGTTTGCGTGGTGAAGTTGGCTCTTTTTCTCCGTTGGCGGGTGATATGGTTGCTCGTGATCGTTTTAATATTTTACGACTTATTTTTTGAACTGTTGATTCTGTTTCACTGGTATTGTTCGAAGTATATCCATTCATTGGAAAATATGGTTGTTCAGTATTTTGTTTTCGAACATGATTCATCTGATCTGATTTGAGAGATAATAATGATTGAATGTAGTTTTCTACAGATAAATGAAATGAGCCATAAAAATTTTTTCATCAAATAGAAAACAGATTTTTTTTACACTCAGATGAATATAAGATGAATCTTCTGCTAAGTCTGTATGCCTTTAAGAGGAAAATGAGACGTTTCTAGAAAGAAGAAACAAGAAGAACACCCTCCCCTCTCCTCCCACGCTATTTGCAGTTACTGCTATCGAGTACCTCGATATTTTTCCCGAAGTCTACATCATCTCCTCACTAATTCTCAACTGGAACTTATAATTAAATGCTAGTATCCTCAACTCAACTGACTGCGTTTCTCATATACAATAGCGGCGTAGGCACCGAGTGGGCTCAGCCCACCCACTAAAAGTTTTATTATTCACACTTCTCTACGCTAATGTCTACCGCCTTGAAAAAATTTGGGACAACTCTCTAGCATCGTGCTAGCTTTCTAGAAATCAATAGAAAGGAGGATGCACTTCATAATATAGTAATTATGCTATTAGTTCAGTGACCTAACGCACATGAACAGAAGGACTCATACATGACATCTGCTACAAAAATACTGTTTCTTAAAAAAACAGAGTAATCCGCTTCTGCTCAACCAAGAAAACTTTATTGACAGTAATAAAAGAAAATGAAGAAAAGTTACCATTGTCATAACAATGTTGTGTACTCAGAGTATCAACGGAGTCAGAATTAGAAAATTTCTTTATCGTTTGACTGGTTTGAGATTCACTTGGTCTTTTGTAAATGATATCATTGCCTAAAGCAGCTCTTAATGATATTATCGTTTTTAGTGATTGATTTGTATCTGTAAACAAAAATAACATTAAAATAATACGTTATTCAATATCTCAGTGACAACATTTACCTGATTTATGTCGAATATAGTTCGTAGATAATTGTTTCTTAACAACTATCTGTTTTTGTTTTTGATGTTGTTTGCATGATGATATAGTTTGTCCGGTAAAAAATCGACTTTGCTTGAATGGTGAAACTCTTGTTACTTGAGATATGCTTCCCTCATTAACATAGTCATTTTGCGCTGATTGTATAGAACTAAAAGAAAAATTTCAATCTATCCGCTTGCGCAAAAGAAAAGATGTTTCATACTTCTCTTCTGGTGTCCAACGCCGTTTCTCATTAACAGGTGTTTGTGGGTTTTGTTCATTATTTAGATGAAAGGATATATTTGTTTTGTTTAAATCAACTGATACATCATCTTCATCATCGGTCAATTGTACAGTTGAATTGCTACTATTACTACTTGCTCGTCGTTCACGATTATTATCATCAACTAAACTTGAATGAGAAGATCTATAAAGAGAAGTAAAACAAATATGAATAGTATGATCATTTGCTCAATAGCAAAGCGATTACCTTCCGTTGGTTATTGAAATTTGTTGATAGTTTGATGAACCAGACAATATACGTGAATTATTGATGTTTCGTTTTGGATTACTATTATTACGGGTCATAATCGATACAAAAGCTTAAGAATAAAGACTTTTTAATACGATTTTTGCTTGTCGCATTTTTCGATATTATCTAACCTTAAAGTATAACTGAAGAACTCAAAATATAAGCACATTAATATTCTTATGCAAACAGTAATAAAAATTTAGAATGAGCGAACAATGGAAAAATCGCTACTTAACAAGCATAAAAGAAGTCGATGGGTGAAATTCCGCATTAACATTTGTTATCAATGTTTGTCAACTTTCTCTGATATAACCGTCTCGGTGAGACGAAGAGCTTTGGAAAGAACCAAAATGCTAAGAATTTACACAAATACTGACATAATAAAAAAACATTGTGGAAATCTTTCTATAACAGCGGTTGAACGTGCACTTGAGAAACAATTGATTTAAAAGCAGTTCCATATACACGAGAGGACGTCAAAAACACAGGCAATGGAATCCATGGGACTGAATCGATCTGAGCCTCATTACATTTTGAGCTACTTGGAGTCAAACATAAACTAATTTTATTTATTATTGCGAGTATTACCACTAACACGACAAAAAACTTATCATCAAATCGATGTTTTTTATATACTTTTAGATATTAAGTGACTTTAGAAAATAAGCAGTGAATGTCTATCGTACGGGATTCCATTGGGGCGTCCATAAGACTTCTGAAGAACATTTATGTAGAAACGAGATCCTCAACTGGGCTAATCTTTGTTTAAGTAGGAGCATACTCGTAAGGAATAGTGATGAGTAAGAAAGAGAATAATTGGATGATGGGAATACCCATCTGGTTCTTATTGCAAGAAGATAACAGTTTTTCCTTTACAGAATCAACACAAATTGCAAGATTAAGCAAACGTCTACGCTTAAATATTTTTCGATATAAATGAAATTTGTCTAATGTTTTGATGGAATACCGCCTCAACATTTCAGCTTCACCAGCAGGAGTGCTACTCATACATTGCAGTTACAATCGAATTTTTGAAACTAGTCTGTTTTACAGCTTATAAAAAAAGCGAAATATACTGTGCGCTTCGATTTACAGTTTGTTATTTTAGAGACTCTTTGCAAATAATGTGGGAAAAAATAAATCGTTGAGAAGATCAGTCGATGAGAAACAGATAATTTAACATAAATTCGTTTTCTGAACTTGTTTTCTTTCTCGAGTTGGTTCACATGTCAAATGCTGAAATTGTGTTTTTCTCGTTATACAAAAGTGGTGATTTTTTTCTCTCTCTAGAATCTGTGATTATCTGCATATATTGCTGCTATCTGATAAAACTTAATAGAGAAAAAAAAGCCACAGAGTTTTCCGATATAATTTAGTCGGTAAAACAACATGTATCAATATAACAGGTCACAATATAAAAGATAGAAAGACAGCAACAATAACAAACAAATGTAATCAGATTTCGATCCACTCCACCGCTTATGGTCAAAACACGTGTGATCCACTAGTGGTTTGTAATAACTTTAATTCATCACATTTATGTGTTATATTTTTGAGAGAAAGTACCTAAACAGATGAATCATCGACTAATTTCTCATGCTTCTTTTTTGCTTTAGAAGATCTCACAGTTGATTATCTTACAGCCAATCAGAAGAGGAAAAAAAATTGTCGTTTTCTCGGATGAACCACCTATAAAGAGTGTCCTCTGCAGAATAGGACTTCAAGTGTTTGATGAAAGACAACCCTTTCAACAGATAAAATTAAAAACTGTTTAGAGTTTTGTATTTTTATCTCTGAATTCGTTTCTTTGTAATGCTAACTACATTCTAAGTTCCATAGAAATTTCATTAACACACGTCAAAACACGTAAAACATGAAAACAAAACGGCATTTTTACTATGATGCGTAACAGAACAAACAGTATAGGACAAACAAACTACCTGTTGGTAAAAAAAGAAAAGTATTGTTTTATTTATTATAAAAAAAGGAATAATATGCAAAATATTGGAATATTCCAAATAATAATATATGCGGTAATTTACCACGTTTGCTGCGATGAAGAAATTTAAAGAAATGAAGTGGACGAAAAGACGATATAAGATCAAATTTTCATTAAAATGTTTGTATATTTCATGAATTAGTTTTTAATATATGTAAACAAGTGTACGCTCTTCTCAGCAAATACTCAATTAGATTTAAAGATACCAAGGAAAAAGTTTCATTGAACAGAACGAAATTTTAAACTAAGAAGTGCATCGCACATTTTCTCTGATAAATCCACTAATCCCCACAGAAAAAACATGGTAAATGAATGTTAAAATGATCTGTCTGTAGTTTCTTATACAGATGTCTATTTCTTATTCCAGGTCGACTATTCCGTAGAACTGTCCACCAGATCATTCGTAGCAAGGTTAGATAATTGAAAAATCGATCCTAGATGAATTCCAATTTAAATCTATTTCTTTTTAATTTATTTTAGATATGCTGGTTCAAACCTTCGTCGTCATGCTACTCAACCAGACATCAACGTTGCTGTGAACCGAATTGTGCCATCAAACGAAAATCAGATATGTGAATTAAGTGTATGTATCATCTAATAAGAGTAAAATATCATCAGAAGACGCAAAACGCGTTTAGTTGTAGAAAAATCGCGAAAGATAATTGATTACATCGAACAGCAGGATTGCAGCGAACTTAAGTCTCTAAAAAAGTTTCAAAAATAAACTGTCTATGCCGAATTTTTCTTGGAAAATGCCGTACATTCAAACAGAATTATTTCTGCAGAGGATTGTGGAGGAACGTCTGACTCTTTAACTACACATTGACTGTCCTTATTCATTCATGAAATAATCGAGTTTGTGTGTGCTGTGGATTTAGAGGAGTCAACAATTTCTAAAAACAGCAACCTTCTGCTGACTAGTAGGTTCTTTCACTTTTCGTCGAAAATAAACATTATCTTGAAATATAAACTATGTTTCCACGTATTTTTAAGGTTCTTTGACCAGCTCATAGTAAATCTTGAGCTATATGTCGAGATATCGTCTGTTGTGTGAATAAAACGATATCGTGCTCGGTTGCCTCCTTGAAAACTGCACTATTTTTAGAAATTTTTGATTCTTCTAAATACCATAGCACACACAAACTCAGTTATTTCATCGATGAATAAGGGCAGTCAATTTGTAGTTAGAGAGCCAGACATTCCTCTACAGAAATAATTCTGCTTGAATACAGGGCAATTTTCAGGGAAAATTTGGCATGGATTGTTGAAAATTTTTCCACTAAGTTAGAACTATTTTCCTTATTTTTACAGGTTAATGAAACATATGTAAGAGTTGCACAAATTAAACTAATATTAGAATACCATTTTCACGACCAGAGGTACAGTCATCCGTACCCGTTTTATGTTTTGATAAATGGAAATCGATTTGATATGGATGTAGAAGGCTGCGTGGATTTAACTATTCGACAGCCAGGTTTCTTAGTTCAAAAGTAAGTAAATTTAAGTTATTTAGTTTCTCTTATACGGTATCGTATTAACGTGTGTTACACGTCGTTTGTCTTGTTACATTTAGATACAAACTCGATATGTTTTATGATGTTCTGCCAATGACCGACATGGATTATGACACTCTCTTGCGTATTCATGCCATGATTAATGAGAATGCAGACGAACAGTCTCTAGGTAAGTGTGATATGTTGTATTATTTTATATATATGCAATGCTCGATAACAAAAGGGACACCACTGGATCTCAAGGATCATAATAACTAGAAAGTTCAAATCTTGTGCAGATACAGACTTACTCATACGCTGATCACCTCCACCAGTCTATGCCTCTTTCACTAGATAGCTTGTGACATGTAAGTGTTTCTTTTCTTTTCCGTAACATGTTAATAACTCGTAAGGACTTTATTTCAGCACTAGAACATAGTCAAGACTCTCCTCTATAAACGGTAAGAATTTTGTTTTTACAGAAATACCTCTGTTTTACGAGCGAAGGTCATTTTTAAAATTTAAGATCCTTCTTCAAAAACCTATTCGTAACTCAGCCAAAATAAACATTGTTTTAACTTTAAATTCGCTTCAAATACTCTGTACCCTAGTGGAATTTCTTGTAACCAAGATCTTGACTTCTTGAACTTTTCCAGTAAGATCTTGATTCAAGATCTGGTAAGAAAATATAAGAATTCAAGCAATTTGAAGAAGTCAAGATCTTGAACATCATGTAATTTCTTGACGTCTCGTACCAAGATCGTGAAAATTCTTGAATCATCGTTTTGTTTTATACTCTTGTATAAATATAAGTGCGAATATTTTCACACTTAGAATAACTTCTTGACCGTAGATGTTTAGGGAAGAATCTACGACTCTATATGGTCGTAAATCCGATGGCTACGACTGTCATAAACAAAAACAAAATGTAAAGAACATTTGTCACTCAAGCTCTTGCAACATCCTGAATGGAAAAATATATCTTGAAATTTCTGTTCCCAAGATCTTGAGTGGAAGATTCAAGAATGCAAGATCTTGTGACATTTCTTAATCCAAGATCTTGGGTTCAAGAAGTTTCACTAGGGCAGTGTTTACAGGAGGCTATCCACTGAACGTATGAAGGTTAACTCTTATATGTTTCTGGAAATCCCTTGAAGATGCGTGGATGCTAGTAAAATATATGTAGCAATAACGTCTTTTAGCTAAGGGAACGCCCATACACATGAAAAGATAACACTAAGATTAAAGCTCCAAAACTATCTGTGTCTGGTTCTTAACTGATGAGCTGTTAGAGAAGAGAAGAAGTGATATTATGTTTAAATATGTACACTGTAAAAAATAGAGTGCTACAAAAAGTGTTTTTTATGAAAACTGTTTTGCTATAAAACGCACGGCTAACATAGTCCTTTCAGGTATAGAGAAAATAAATCACTTTTGATCTGGTGTAAACTAGAGCACTGCGTGAAAAAACGCGCTTTCAGAGTGATTGCAAAGAGAGCATTTTCAAAAATGTATAGTAGAAAGATGCTTTTGAAGTGACTCAAGAGAAAACATTGTGACAAACAGTGTGATATGAAGCATGTTTTTGAAAAGACACTTTTTAAAGTCATGTTAACAAGTCATTCACCTCTTTTATTTTGCTATTACTACTGATATATATGTAACGCTGATTTTCTTCGAATAACTTAGAAATTTTTCCCTTGAACGACTGACTATACAGGTCATCGAAGCTTGTCTCGAAGAAGTAGCCTTAGCCTATGGATTAGTATTGGTGATAGTATCAGACTTTTGAGACTGGTACTAAGAATAGTTCCATGATTCAAAGGAATCAAAAATTAACAAAATTAGAAAATCATATTTATAAGTTCAAAATCAAACATAATGAAATTCGACAAATGTCGTTCGAAAAAGTGGCCTAGAGAAGAGCACTTTCAAAAGCGATCTCTTACGGTGCTGATCCTATTTGTAACGGTCTTTATTTGGTTTACTTTTCAAGTGACCACTGAGGAGCGCTTTGCAAGTGGTTTTCTTTAAAGCACTTTTCAAAGTGTTCTCCAGTCAAACACTTCAAAAGCACGGCAAAACAAGACCGTTACAAACAAGAGCAGCACTACCAGAGAGCGCTTTCTTTTTTACAGAGTAGGAAACGAGCTGGATGAAGTACGTGTTGCCCGTTCCATTATAGCAATTGTGATTATTCACATCACAGTTATACAAAAGTATATTCACGAAAACTCAGAGCAAAAAAAAAACTATAGATAAAACATATTCAGAAAGCTTTACTCTCATCTGCACTTTTACCTTGCTTTTAACCGGTTGTATTCTAAGTGTATATCCTTTTAAAAGTTAAATTTTTCAACTTCAGCAAAAATCTCAAATCAAATGACTGTCTATATTTTGGCTTAAGTGCAGACAGCCAGTATTGTTCTGTATATATGTACATTGTTTGTTCATTATTTTAGCAATTTATAATCCAGTACTTTGTTTGCGCTCGAAATTAAGCGACATAGATCAATGGGCCGAAAGTTTTTCAGAACCCATCGTAAGATATTGATTCTTTAAATTTTTATAAAATAATGATTACATTATAATTCATTTTAGCATCTTACAAATGCTCCTTTATCGAAAACTCATTTATTGCGACTTAGGTAAAACATCAGTTGACATATGACAAAAATATTTGAAATTCACAAACAACAATGACTGGGCACTCTCTAAAAGATTTATTTAGATATCGGAAAAAGGAGTTTTCATTTGATAAGAAATGTCTCGACGTTGTGTTTTTCACATGATAAAATCCACATAGGGTCTTTTTAAAATACATTTTATAACCAGTTTCCACCTGATAAAAAAACCCAAAACATACTTTAATGTGCGAAAAATGGTTGTCTGTTTCCTTTTTTTAAATAGGCTTTTTTAAACAAACATTTCTCGAGAACATTTCTGAAGCCAAACCGTTTAATATTTATGACCGTTGAACAAGGCTTCTTCTTTATGATAGAGAATTGACTAGATTTTGGGAAATACAATTTTGATTCCAAGAGTATTTTTTCATTTGCTTAAAAAACACTTTCTTAATTGAGTCAACTTCTTTCTAAAAATATTGAGTATTTTACAAAACTAGCGGGCTTACCAAAGATCCTACTACTAAGCTAAAACTTATATTTCTGTTTAGATATGGAAAAGAAGATCGTGTAGCACCCTTACCAATAGATGTGAAAGTAATTAAAAGTTATGAACGAATGAATTATTTACATACACAGAACTTTATTTTTTCAGTGCTATTTTAATCATCCAAGTCTAGCACACATAAAAACTGACATTTATTTGATACGTAATATAATGCCATTTCAACAATCTGAAAATGAATTCTATGAGCCAGATAGAAATTTAAATAAAATTGTTCATTATTTACAAAGACAAGACAATAGCAATATATTCAGGTTAGAAGAACATTTTATATAAGATTAAGAAAATTCAAAACTTCCATGCTTTTTCTTTTTTCTTTTTCTATACATCATTCGATGCAGATTTTTGCACTGAATTCGCATATGTGTATTTTAACCTGTCGAATCAAAATTTTAATGTCAAAAATGTAAAAAAACTGAAAATTTTAAAAAATAGCTTAATTTTGAAAAACCAACATAAAACTCGAGCACAATGTGTTTGGGAACCTTGGGAGCTTCTT